GTGTATATTAACAACAGGCTACGGAGCTTACTATATGTTAGTGTCCAACACTGGCAGTCGTACGAGACTCTCTGTGTTACTCTCTGTGTTACTCTCTGTAGAGTGCTATGTCGCCTACTTAATATAGGCCTGGGAGAGTCTATTGTGTAGGTAGTTTCACAATGCACAAACACACACACACACACACACACACATATATATATATATATAGGTGTGCATTGAGATCAACACAGATGGCCTGAAGACTGCGTTTAAGCATGAAACCGACTGTTGACAGTGGGTGTTGACTTCAACGTCTACTTTTATATTTTATATTTACAAACGTTCTATCCTTGATATTAAGTACTTTAACACATTAATATACCATACCTTAAAACTATACTTTTATCGTATATATATATATATATATATATGTGTGTGTGTGTGTGTGTGTGTGTGTGTGTGTGTGTGTGTGTGTGTGTGTGTGTGGTATATAGCATATGCAACCAAAATCGAGATCATGAGACAAAGTCGAAAACTTATAGACGACGCGTTTCTATATATATATATATATATATATATATATATATATATATATATATATATTGTAATAAAAAAAATTAAATGCTCAATTCTTTTGGGTGTATTCTAAGTTTCATGAGATTGCATCCACTCCGAAGACTGGATTATAGAATTTGTTTTCAGAAATCATACAAAATGACTGAATGTAATATCCGCAAAATACAGAACAGATACAAAAGTGATCATTTAATTTCATTTATTGTAATTAAGGATCTATTTGTTGACTTTTAGCATTGTAACTGCTGAGACTGTTTGGCATATAACGTTATCATATACCTTAGTCGGCGCTTATTTTTTTTCTGTCTTTTCTATGAATCGCATATATATATATATATATATATATATATATATATATATATATATATACAAGTATCGTTAATTAATCTGAAACTTTTAAAACCATTTATTTTATCTTCAACATCATCACTTGATAAGACACCGAGGGTGTTGAAACAAAATGGCTATTTTTGTAGTGATTTTATAACATACTCATGTTATAATTTTTTATAAATAATAATTATATATATATATATATATATATATATATATATATATATATATATATATATCAGGTCATCCCATAAGTTCTGTTCGAATTTTAACTTTTTGCTAAAATGAAAAGAAATTTAAAGAGTATTTTATAATGTCTAATGGAGCTGAACATTATTTTCATGTTTAGATGCATTTAAACTGATCAAATTTTATTTCAGAGAACAATAAAATTAAATTTTGTTTGATTAAAACCCTTCTAACATGGAAGTACCCAAGAATCATTTGAGGCACATAATGCTTTATGAGTTCAAGAAAGGAAACTCAGCAGCCGAAGGGCTAGAAACATTCACTCAGTTTATGGAGAGGAATGTGAATGAAAGAACTTGCAGAAGATGGTTTGCAAAATTCAGAGGTGGAGATTTCACCCTTGAAGATGAAGATCGAACCGGACGTCTAGTTGAGTTTGATGAAAAGCTTCTTGAAGCAGCCCTTGAAGAAAATCCTACTTTATCAGTTGAAGAATTGGCAGTGGTTCTCAGTTCAAAGCATACAACTGTTCATCGTCATCTTCAACAACTTGGAAATCTTCATAAACTTGGAAAATGGGTGCCTCATGAAAACAACCTCAAATCCCGAGTTGACATCTGCTCTTCTCTCTATTCTCATCAACTTGTTTCACCTTTTTTGGATAGACTTGTGACTGGCGACGAAAAATGGATCTTTTATCGAAATGTTAAGCGTCGTAGACAGTGGCTTGGTAAAGGGGAATGACTCCAGCCACAGCCGAGAAGGGATCTTCATGGGCAAAAGGTTCTTCTTTCATTCTGGTGGGATCGCCAAGGAATAATCCACTTTGAATTCTTACCACCTAATGCAACAATTAATGCTCAAATATACTGTCAGCAATTAGAGCGTTTGAACCAAGCTTTGAGGTAAAAAAGACCTGCTCTAGTGAATCGAAAACAGGTGATGTTTCATCAGGACAATGCTCGACCCCACACAGCAAGAATCACGTCACAAAAGGTCGAAGAACTTGGTTGGGAGAAAATTCCTCATCCACCTTATTCTCCTGATCTTGCTCTTTCAGACTACCATTTGTTTCGTAGCTTACAGAATCATTTGGAAGAAACAGCTTTTGTAACACAGGAAGAGGTTAAACTGACATTTGTGAGTTCTTCGAATCAAAGCTAAAAGAATTTTACAGTAATGGAATTAGTAAGCTTGTTAATAGATAGAAGGAAGTCATAGATAATCAGGGAAAATACATTGTTGATCGAATCTGTAATTAAATGTAACAATTGGTCACTTATTTTCTTTATTCAAAACTCGGACAGAACTTATGGGATGACCTGATATATATATATTCATTGAACACGACAGACAAGGTGCTTTTATTCAGTTTTTATACAATTTCTCATGTGATCTAATAATTAAAATAAATGCACTTTGTCTGTCGTATTCAATAAAATGTGCATGAAAGATGGATTGCTGCCCAAATACACAAATTTTGAATATATATATATATATATATATATATATATATATATATATATATGATGAGATTGTGTCATAAGTAATTTTCGTTTTTAGCTACCTAAGTAATACTCGAACCCTTAAAAACAACAGATCTCAATTTCATAAAATATTAATTTAAGATAATAAAATTTGTTAATATCAGACATTTTGAAACTGGAATATATTTATTTACACCACACCTGCATATAGATACATTTAATATGTCGATATATTAAATAACATATCTTTCAAAGAAATAAATAAGCTTTTTTCTCTCTAATCAATTTTGTTGCGAGAGCTGATAGCCAGCCTAAGACCAAAAAGTAGAATAAGAAACACGTGGATAAACTCCTCCTCTCTCCTCTCTCTCTCTCTCTCTCTATATATATATATATATATATATATATATATATATATATATATATATATATATTAGCTATGTCTATCATATTTCACTCTTCCTGCATTCAACGCCTACGTAAAACGATACAGCCTGTGCGTCAGTCGGTAATATTTAAGTTTAAGATTAGGAGATAATCTTGTATGGGACTAGCTGGACCGTGTCGGGAGATCTCGTGAAATCTCGTCATACTGCCGACCCGAAACTGTCAGATATCTTGTTATCGGATTTCATTAAAAAAGAATGTCAGCTTGCGCTACCCTACATTTGTGCTCTGGGTGGAAATCTTTGGTCGATGAATGCAAAACTAGTGAAAAATGATGAGTTATCAAAAGTCACTTAAATATGGATATGCTTTCCTCCAGTTTAAAACTTCCCCACATTTATTTTTTTTGTCTTAATTTCAGATTTGAAATATTCCAATATCTATCTATAAAAGGCAGGATGTGTGTTTGCGTGTGTGTGTGTCTTTTTTGTATGTGTGTGTGTGTGTGTGTGTGTGTGTGTGTGTGTGTGTGTGTGTGTGTGTGTGTGTGTGTAACGAATGCACGGCCGCAATTTTTCGACGGATTTGCACGAAAATTTACATGCAAATGCTCCAAGTTAGCGGGAACGCCAAGACCGACTTTGCATTTCCCAACTCCCATCGATAATGGAAATAATCGATTTTTTAATGCTTCTACGGCAGTTTTCATGTAGTTTGCGGCCATTTTGTACTGGTCAATCCTTTTTTTAAAGATGATCGTTTTGTGTTCATTTTGTTTAGTTCTTTTTTCGTAACAAATTTAATGCTTAGTATAGAGCTTAGAAAAAAATTCGCAGTGTGAGATAGGCAAGAAGGCATATAGCAACATCGGCACGGCAAAGAGCACTCCTTTAAAGGCAAGGAAGGGCAAAAATATTTTAAGTCAAGTTATAGCGATTGCTGTATGATTCGTACGATTTTTTAATCAAGCACGGGCAACGCCGGGCCATGCTGCTAGTTATGTTATATATTTTAAAAAACTAATTTAACTATATTTCAAATCCCCCTCTCCTCGCGTTATCTGGTCTGTTTCATTTTTATCCCGTTACTCAAATGACGAGATAAAAATGAAACGGACACAGAGAAATACAAGAGGCGCCTTTAATGACAGTTTGAGAAAGGGCGAAAAATATTTCGACCGAAATTTAGTAATAAACTTTTACATAGTATATGTGTGCGTGTGTGCGTGTGCGTGTGTGTGTATCTGTGTACTGCATATATGGAGAATTTAATTTATTCCCCTTCTTATCCTCAAAAATCCCAGCGCATTTTCCTTGCACACGATTCTGCCTTTAATTCCAACCTAAAGAAGCTGAACCTAACACGCGTCAGCGAAACGCGTCGTTCAAAAGTTTGTCCACTTTGTTTTATTATCACCACCTTCCTTACGGATAGTATTCACTGTCCTAATAACACGTATGTATATATATATATATATATATATATATATATATATATACGAGGTCATTCAATAAATAAGGTGAATTTTTCGGTATAAGGACTTCGAATACAGATAGAAGCTTACTTTTTTTCTTTTCTTTTTTTTTTTACTTCTTTTTCACGTGGATTTAATTTCTTTTGCAGATTAAAAGAAAACTTTGAGAATTTTAGCGATTAACAAAGATGGCCGACCAAAAAGCATGCTCCAGGATTGAACAGCGGTCAGTTATCAAGTTTTTGGTTGCTGAAGGGTGCAAACCATTTGAAATTCATAGGAGAATGTCAACTGTGTATGGTGCCACATGTTTCAGCCAAAAAAATGTCTACAAGTGGGCTAAATTGTTTAAAGAAGGACAGAGCAGTGTTGAGGATGAAGACAGGCCTGGGATGCCTGCAGAGGTGAGGTCGCCTGAGGTGATCGAATCAGTCAATGACCTCTTTCAGTCTGAGAGAAGGGCGACAGCGGATGACATTGCAAGGACTTTGGGCTTATCTGTTGAGACAGCACATAAAATTGTCCATGATGACCTTGGCTACTCGAAGGTCAGCTACCGGTGGGTGCCAAAGATGCTTACTGCAGAGCACAAACAGAGGAGGGTCGAGTTGCCCCAGCAGTGTCTTTCCCGCTATGAGAAGGATGGTGATGAGTTTCTGAAGAAGGTGGTCACATGTGACGAGACATGGGTTTGGCACTGTGAGCCTGAGTCCAAACGGCAGTCCATTGAGTGGAAGCACGTAGGCTCTCCAGCGAAGAAGAAGTTCAAGTCCCAGCGGCAGTGAGCTTCACCGAGTAAGTTTTCGAGACAAGGAGCCTCTTTGAGGCAATTATACTCATCAGAATTGGTGCAGTCTTAGGAACTGCTAGAGGGCAATGGACTGTCATTAGTATAGTATTAGGTTTTTCCCCATTGAACTGTGATAGTTAATATCATTGGAGAGATTATCTGCCAGGCACTGGTCATTTAGATATTTATAGGTGCAACCATACACCGCGGTGTCATCTGCATATATATTTACTAAAAATCTGATAATGTGCATATATAAGAAGAAAAAGGGTGAGAATCTTGTGGAATTCATGTGCCTGTACCGGTTATTAACGACGACCTTCATAGACCTGCCTAACAGGAAGGATTTGGTACCTGAGTGGACTCTCCCAGAGATACCATAGCTGGCAATCCCCTGTGTGACACAGGTATCTTGGGCAATCACCTTGTCAAAGCCCTTCAGATATCTTGGGCAATCACCTTGTCAAATGCCTTCAGGGTATCTTGGGCAATCACCTTGTCAAAGGCCTTCGAGATATCTTGGGCAATCACCTTGTGAAATGCCTTCAGGGTATCTTGAGCAATCACCTTGTCAAAGGCCTTCGAGATATCTTGGGCAATCACCTTGTCAAATGCCTTCAGGGTATCTTGAGAAATCACCTTGTCAAATGCCTTCAGGGTCTCTTGTGCAATCACCTTGTCAAATGCCTTCAGGATATCTTGTGCAATCGCTTTGTCAAAGGTCTTCGAGATATCTTGGGCAATCACTCTTGAGGTATTTTTATTATCAATTGCTCCTACTTCAAATACATCTGTTTGTCTTATTTTGTTTGAGTAAACGTACAGGTATCATACAAAACTGTATTTCTTGTGCTCCAGGATGTTCTTCTAGATAATGCTTCTCCCGTTGTACTTAAATAGAAATGGTCAAGATTAATCTCCCATTGCGTGACGATTAAAGTAAATACCTAGAGAAACCAAAACAATGTTTGTTACTAATCCCATGTACTTATAGGATTACAACTTTAAACAAAGCCTTAAGCGATATTCCATTTGCGTGGGCGTACGAATTAATACGAAATTTCGTTGCTATCGCAATTTTCGAAAATAGAGTACTGCTGCCATATTTGGGTAGAAGCTGCCTAATCTTCATTTTCTAGTCTTGGTAAAGTGTCAAAGCTTCTAAACGGCCTTGTGGGTGATGGATTGTTTTCCACCTTACAACCCATTTCCCCACAGACGAAACGTTGCAAGCCTCTCGCTACTCTATCGCTATTTCCATTGAAAGTGTTCAGATGAACTGCATTCTTTAGTCCTATCAGTTCTATTTTCCAGGGACTAGGACCCGCTGTGACACGCATATTGAAGCTAACCACTCTAATTCCCTTTGTATTCTATTGGTGAGAAGTAAGCTCCACTCGAGTAGCTTCTTCTCACGTACCGCTACTTTGTTGAACCGACTCTCAAGAGCGGCTCTTGGGCTTTGTTCAGGGTGAAAATTATTGTAAAAAATGGCTAATGCTAACCTCCAGGAGAATAACTCATGAACTTTCTCTGACTAAAATTCTCAGCTGACATGAAGTGGAATTACTATCTGTCATTATTTCTGAAATGTACTATTGTAACGATTTACACTATTTACATTGTTCAGTGTGTTGTACTCATTTTTATTGCCATATTTACGATGTTTCGACCGTTGTACGCTACAACAAATATCACCTGAAGAAGGCTGGGGCATACAACGGCCGAAACGTCGTGAATATGGCAATAAAGATGAGGACAACAGTCCAAATAATGTAAATAATGCGAATGGAAAGACTATATTGAATCCATTTATAGGTCAGCTGCTAGGAAAATTGCTTCATTGTGTCATGCTAGACTATTTTTGTCTCCAGAATCTATCTATAATACCATTATTCGTCGTCTTATAAAATATTACCGCCACCGGTGCTCCTGCATTATATTTAGAGATTCTTGATAGAATTCAAAGAATGAGCAAGATTATTGGTCCTGACCTGGCATCTCAGCTTCAGTAACTATCCCACCGCCGTAAAATTGCTTCCCAGTGCCTTTTCTATAAAATAGTCTCATAACAAGTGCTCGGATAAACTTTCTGCTAGACGTTATGAGTTTACGTGTAGTACTAGATTATCTATAATCAATATTTAGCGTTTCGAGCGGACACACAAATTTAGTGTTTTATATATTAGATGCGATAGCTGTTTCTGGTTTAAGTCTTTCTGAATATTTTTGTTTATTTTTTTATTCTGGGGAAATTTTTAAAAAAAAACTTGATATCGTTTGTCTGGAAAAAATTATCAATGGAATTTCCGTTCTTCCAACCATTCTCTCCATGGTCTCGTAAGCAGGCATTAGCTTTCAACTGAAACTCATAGCAGAGATCTATCGCGTTTTAAGTCTTCCGCCAATGGCCAGGCAAGACACGGTCTCTTGAACATTACATCTTCTCTGATATGATTTATGTCCCGTGAAATATGTCCTAAGGTTTGGGAATGAGATACAACTATAGTGTGCTTCTAACATTGTGAAGTGTTCAGTCGGTGAAATTTTTCTTTTTCCTATTTTATATTTAGCCGTAATTTTCACCAAAATAAAGTCAAATTATCACATTTTGGAAAACAATTCATTAAAAGCAAGCACGTAGAAGTAATAAAAACCTGAGTAAACTTCAAAGACGTTTCTGATATTGTGCGAAATAGCGCTTCTTATTTCTAAATATGTGTTTGTTATAGTGCGTCGTTTGTTATTAAAATTTTGGTTGAATTGGGTCATAGCACATAAAATGACGAATTTTTGATGTTTCATATTTTGGTGATATCAAAATGGATTTAAATAAATGTCTATTATAGTGTTTCATTCGCTATGTTCTACTGATGTATTTCATTTTTCAGATGAATCGTCTATCATAATCTTCACTGTTTCACCCTTGGAAATATATTATCTGGGGGACTAAGTACAACTTCGCATTCAGTCTGAGTTTAAATTCAGATAAAAGGCATTTAAAGCAAGGAGAAACATCGATTTAAACCGTCATCAAAGAGAAAAACAAAACACTCGTTTTTAATAAAATCTGAGAGGAGAACTTTTCCATTACTTTTATCTATTAAAATGGTTAAAAGGGATTTAATCTTATGGATAGCGGCTCGGATTGAGGAATCGAAGAGCCAAGTTCGAATTCTAGTCGAATCGATTACATTCACTTACGTGCTAATATTATAGGGAAAGGTATGAATCCTCTTCTTCTCCCCCAGCTATGGGTAAATAACAGGACAGACCGGGTTCTACAGCCTTAGGTGGCAACTGGTCTACCGCAGAAAGAAATGGCAACCGGATGGTGGGAAAAACTGCCTCGTCAGTCATGTATCTTTCGATAAATGTTCGTCTAAGTGTGTATCACGCATGGCACATAACTAACTGAATAAATGGTGGTTGCTACCTTATTATTATTTTATTGATTAAAACAAGCACTTGAGATGGTATTACACTTAAATCTGGTCAGGGTTGGTTTCTTTTACAGCAGATCAACCATTTTCAAGTTATTTAATATCGAATGCTGTTCTGGTAATACAATATGTTTTGTTTAAACGAGATTCAAAAATATAGACATACATTTGGTTTCTATGTCCACCAAATAGGTAGGTAAATGTTTGATTTACACGAAAGTCAAAATAGTAGATATAGTTTTGGTTTACATGAGAATAAAATAGGTAGACATAGGTGCAGTAACCAGGTGATCACTTTTGGCGGGAGATATTTGCCTCTCACGTGGATGCTTTCAGCGTATTCTTCGCTCCAAATGACAGGGTGATTTCAAATGATGAATCAGTTATTATATATCTGTCAATATTTCCGAGATAAGGCATTGCAAGTATTTACACTATTTACATTGTTCAGACTGTTGTTCTCATCTTTGTTGTCATATTTACGACGTTTCGGCTGTTGTACGCTACGGCATTCGTCAGGTGATTGGAATTTCGAATTCGAACCCTTTCTTTCGTCTACCGGGGGAGATCGTTCTAGTTTCACGTGCCCTGCCTCTTCCTGGTATCTCATTTTCAGTTATTTCCTTTTAGTAACTCAACTCTCCAGGATTTTAGTTCGCCTCTGCCAGATATTGAGCCCACAACTCTCGGTCAAGTCACTGGTTTACTTCAACCAACCCTTTTCTTCACTGGGCCATGTGTCCTTGGAGACAACAAAGATGAGGACAACAGTGTGAACAATGTAAATAGTGTAATTATATGCACAAAAGCTTCTAAAGATTTTTATTTTGAAAGGATTTTGTTTATTATGTATTCAGTCTCTATTTTTTTTAAACCGTTGGGTACTTAATAAATATTTGTTCCTTAAACGTTGGAGATGGTTTTTTGATTATTTTGAATTTTAATTTTTAATTTGTCTGATTATAACTTTTTTTTTTCAAATTTTAGGAAAGAAGTATTTTTTCCTGGAAAAAATTGCAAAATCGCAAGTAACGAATCGAGCTCAGTCCAACCGTGCTAAATTTTTAATTTCGCCATTTGCAATATTTGGGACTATTTTCAAAATAAGCTGGACTTAATTGTGCTAAAAATGAGGAAAAAGTAAATTAAAAAAATAGTTTCACTGAGTTTTAAATGTAAATCATTTTTTTAATCATTCTACCAAAGCAATGCAACAAAGCCATTAGCACGCATTACTGCGTATGAAAGAATATAAGAAAAAAATATTAAAGAGCAATAACAATAAAAGAACATAAATTAAGAAGAAAGAAAATAATGATTGACATTGCATTTCTATTTTTGAAGGTCAAAGTAGACTGGAAAGCAAGAAGCCAGAAGAGAGTTCCCAACTGAGAAGTGCGAGAAAAGAAATGGTCGAGGTAATTTTGTTTTTTTAAATTATAATTATAGTTTTGAATATATATACTTATTTCTTCCTCACATTGATTTCAAAATACGTAACGGTGGCAAACCAGCATGCATATATTTATTTATTTACCATCAAGTCATGTGACACAGCCATACAGACTATTTTTTACAATGACAAACCCACATAGCTTCTTCACCAATTAAGTAGTTGCCAAATGATATGATATTTTTTTTATTTTTATAAAAAAATATCATTGTATTGTATAAATATATGTTACGTTAGGTATATTTTTTCAATAATTTTCTTCTAATGTATTATGAATGTTTATATTATTGAATATGCAAGAGTATATTTTTATATACGCCGATTGATATAAGAATGTGTATCGAAAGTAAATACTAAATGTTCTATTAAAAATGCCGTAGCAACAGAAAAACAGCCTTAACTCAAGGACCACTTGTCTAATTGTAATGAAATTTGGCAGGTGTTCAAGATAAAATATCATCTTAAATTGGATGAGGTATTATGTATTTGTTTAATCTGTATCTCAGCAACAAACATAGATACATGCACACAAGTTTTTATATTACATTGATTTGTAAGTGATGTGATCGGCAATGGGAAGGGATCCGAATGTGGGGTACTATTGGGAAGTGTCTGAAAACTATACCACGGAGTAACCCCCGTTTGTCAAGCCGGGTGAGTGTAATCGGGTCAGCGGAACTAATCAGAAGCCGTTGTGACCGAGGGTGTGAGTGAACTGTCCTCGTTCATCGTGTTGATCACGTCTGACTATGCGCTCCCTTCCAGAAACTGTATCTAATATCTGCTCAGCGCAGTTCCTGTATAAACCACATGTGTACTCTGTGGTTGTTGAACGAACACAAATCTACCAAAGCAGACGTCTGCTAGTAGACGGGTGTGCCGGTCATTATCGGGAGATAAAAAATAAGAATCTGTTCTTATTGCTTTTTTTATGAGAACCATTCCACCAGTGAAAGAAATTTACATAATCTCAGAAAGAAAAAGAAAATGAATCCAACAACATTGAGAATTTTTTTTAACTGAAACAAATCCAGCTAAAAATGACGATTCTCCATTCCATTACAAATTACCAAATAAATTACCAAAAAGAGTTTAAAGTAGCCAAGATACAACTACGAATATCCAAGAGGAAATGATCTAATCATTCAATAACGGTACGTCTATGTGTAGCAAATTCATACTTTCTCATTAAAATCCAACAATACCAAACATCACCAATAGTGATATACATAAAGCAAACAGGCGGACAGACATTCTTAAGACTAGATATTGAGAGATGATAAGCTAAGGTAATTTAATTAGATTTATGTTTCCCACTTATCCTCAGAGACAACAAGGCATTTTCCTCACACACAGTTTTGTCTTTCTTTCATTCTAAACTGAGGAAGCCGAACAAAACACACGCTTTTCGACGAAACGCGTCGTTAATAAATTTTCCATTTTGGCTCATCATCTTCACCTTCTCATTAACAAAATTAAATTTATATTGGATAACGATTATTGATCAACACATTTATTTATCGATTATTAAATCACTGTTATTATTTAAAAGCTGCGTTTCAAGAGCGATCAACAGCAGAAAAAATAGAACAATTCAGAAGCATTTTTAAATTTTGATTAAGTTTAAGAAACCTTTCATGAAAAATATTCGCGTGAATATATTTTCCTTTATGCATGAGCCAACAATATATTTTAACAAATAATGCTAGAACGTTACCAAACCAAACTGTATTCTAATTTAGCAGTTTAAAATTTTCCAATTTAGAGTATAATTTCCACGAAAGCATTTTCATTTTTTATTTTATTTTATTTACAATTATTAAACTTATTTAAATTCTATAAGGAATTATTTATGGAAGCATTTAAAATTTATTCACGATCGAATGGTATTTAATTGGGATTTTATTAGCGTGGGATGGAAAAGTATTTACATTAAAGAAATAATTCCACTAATTTCTTTTCAAGGAAATCTTGTCATAAATAAATGCAGTTAATGATGCAGAAAGTACAGAAAGTTTTATTAAATTTCAATAATTACTTGAATTTCCATAAATTCTTAAATTGTGGGTGTGTCGGGTGTTCGAATTGTCTTCCAATTGATTTTTCATAATTGAATTTGAATTGAAAGCATTTTTCAAAAGCAAATCGCTCCATTTCTGTATGTTGGAAGAAACATATTTTTCTTACAAAATAATCTCCAATTCGTATTCTTTTTAATCGTATGAAGACGATGGAAACTGAATTCATCTTTTAAATGGAATTAATACGTTTTTATCGTAACAGGTGGACGTGAGAATATATACCAGAGACACACTGTGTTTCTGTTGAAATTATTAACAAATATTTTGACCAAAATGTTAATCACTTCTGGTGGAATGTCATTGGAAAGACAAATTAAGTATCCCCCTCCTCACTCACTCACTCTCTCTCTCTCTCTCTCTCTCTCTCTCTCTCTATCTATCTATCTATCTATCTATCTATCTATCTATCTATCTCTCTCTCTATCTGTCTATCTATCTATATCTATCTTCTACCATCTCTATATTCTCTCTCTCTCTCAATCTTCTACCAGCTCTTCTCCCTCTCTTTATATTCTACCATCCCCTCCCTCTCTCTTTGCTCTTCACTTTCTCTATCTCTCTTTCTATGTATCTACCTCAGGTCAGTTCCCTTTTCTTTACCTCTCTCTATATATATATCTGTCTGTCAGTCTATCTATCTATCTATCTATCATTCTATCTATCAATCTATATATATATATATATATATATATATATATATATATATATATATATATATATATATATATATATATATATATATAGATAGATAGATAGATAGATACGCATATTTGAGGAGAACGTCTACAGCTCACCAGATCAAACGGTAGTTACGTCTATGAAGGAGGACGCAGGTTCCAATCTAGCCGGTAGGCACATTTTCTTTATTAAGTTTTTTCGAATAAGCAGGCCGATAGACGAAATAAACAGTTTTAAAAACAGAACGTTCTACTTAAATACGGGCATCCACTAAAAATAAAGTTTCAAGTAATAAAAAATATGTCGAATTAAAAATACAAAATAAATCCATTCACTCTACAATTTTTTTTTTTACAATGAGGTTCGCCCTGTAAAAAGCCTGAGAGTCACTCGAGGTAGAAGGTTACATACTAAGAAGCATCGTTTATGTGGATAGGTGGAGAACATAACGGTTAACATTAGATTTGAACAGGTTAAGATTGTAGTGATCAGGAAAACATCCTCTTGGGAGTCGGTTCCACAGGGCAGTGGTTCGCGGGAAGAAGCTGTTCAAGTCTCTCTAATGGAATACGGAGGAGGTGAATGAGTATGTTTTGCTACAATATGCGTGGCATGGTGGGTCCTAGCCTAGAAGGTTAGCACTAATGAAAACAGTGAATATAGTTCATCCGAGCACTTTCCATGGAAGTAGCAATAGCGGAGTGAGAGGCTTGCTACATCTGGTCTCTGAGAGAGGGTTTGCAGGATGGAAAATAATTTGTCACCCACAAGGACGCGGAGAAGATTTTGGACTCTATAGAGACTGAAAAATGAGCTCATTTATGTAAAGTAAAAAGAGGGTCGGTCCGATAAATGACTCTCCGAAAAAATATCTGCATTGATTGCTAGGGTCCCGGAGGACTGACTATTAACAACTAGTACTGAACACACACACACACACACACACACACACACACACACACACACATATATATATATATATATATATATATATATATATATATATTGTCATCCATAGTCAGACTGCTTATATATATATATATATATATATATATATATATATATATATGTGTGTGTGTGTGTGTGTGTGTGTGTGTGTGTAGTTGAGGTTTAGTCCTGAAAATACGATTTGAGGAAATTGGTTGCGCCGATAAATCTTCAGCTACCCTAGTGATCTATCTATTGCAACTTGTTTATATTTGTTTATCTCTCTATAGATATATCGAAATCTGTTCATATATATATATATATATATATATATATGTGTGTGTGTGTGTGTGTGTGTGTGTGTGTGTGTGTGTGTGTGTGTGTGTGTGTGTGTGTGTGTGTGGTGCCCTTCTTCTAAGAGTCTATGTTAGACTCTTCCGCTTCCGTTTAGTAGGAGAGAAGGTTCGAGGAACAGTGAACAGTGAATGGGTTGAGTGTTGGTTCATTCGATACACTCTTACTAATAGTGTAATACTCTTCTGGTGTACTTACTGTTTAATATACGATATATCTGCAAACTTGGTTTTTGTTATTACTTAATCATTTACTTGGTCACAACAATATACATATATATATATATATATTTACTAGTATACACGTGCCTTCGAAATAGACGGCAAGAAGGAATGCATTATAAGTAACAGGTATTATATTGTAAAAGTTTTTGTTTAATCTATGTACATTTTTTCTGTGCAACAATTGAGGGCGAGTGTAAAATAACGATCACTCACCCAAATTCAAGTTATATTTGCTTTTGGAAAGAAAAAAGAACTTTAGTTAAATAAAAATTATGAGAAACAGACATGAGTTACGGGCAACATTAGTCAAGTTGAATATTTATCTTATGAAAATTAATTGTATTTTATATCTCCTTTAGGGCCATTTAGGAAAATAAATAAATATAATTTATGTATATATGTGAGAAACAATGAAGTTTCTTTTTTTCTTTTCAAATACGTTATTTTTATATTTAAGTAAATGCTCTGCTTGTAATAGACAGTATTAATTATATTTACCGGCCTGAATGCCTGAGAAATTTCATAGAAAATGTGTAGAATACAGGTTCGATTCCTGTCGGAGGATACATATTTTCTACGGTAAATGTAGTTAATACTGTTTATTATAAACAGAGCATTTGCTTAAATATTTGTATCTATAAATATAACGTATGCACAAAAAATGTAATAAAATAATTATCGGATTTTCATAATATATGTTGTCATTTGTTTACGTTAAGATACGTTTCGAGCAGATATGATCGTTCGAGAAAAATCATGTGAAATTTGTTGTCTAAAAACAGTAATTTGACTTTGTTAACCAGACGCCTCATCTGTAGCTAAATGGTATAGCACGTTAGGCCTAAATGACTGTTTTGTGTAGGATTCATCATAAATGTAACTAATCCTGTTTATTAGAAACAGAGCATTTAGCTAATTATTTGTATCTATAAAAATAACGTATAAACAAAAAATATATTAATATATATATATATATATATATAAACAGACATATGCATGCACATATATATATGTCTGTTTAATGTTTCTGTCTCTTTCCACTTCACTTTTCTCTCTCAGTCTATTTCCTCTCTATCTTTCTTTTCTCTCCATTTCATCTTCTTGTTTTCTCTCTTTTTCTCTTTCCTTCTCTTTTATATATCTTCCTTTTCATCTTACTACTTTCTTTCCCTTTGTTTCTAAATTTCTCACTATCTATCTATCTATCTATCTATCTGACCCCGCTATTTTCATCTTTTTATTTCTCTTTTCCTTTCCCTTTCTATTAAATTTTTCTATCCGTCTCTCTTTATTTCTTTATCATCCTTTCCATTTCTCCTATTTCTTTTCACCTCTTTCACTGTCATGTTCTTTCATTTACCTTTTTTGTCTTTTATTTTACTATTTATTGTTCTTTCTCCTTCCCACTTACAATTGTTTCTTCTTCTTCTTCTTCTTCTTCTTCTTCTTCTTCTTCTTCTTCTTCTTCTTCTTCTCTATCTCTCTATCTCTCTATCTCCCTCTCTGTGCTTCGTCTTCTCTTTCTTTCTTCATTTCCATTCACTTCCCGCTGTCACTCTGTTATTTATTTACTTTCTTCTTTTTCTTTCATTTTTTTTCATTTTCATTCACTCTATACTTTTTTCCTCTTTTTATTTTTCTTGCTTCTTTTTTCTTCATTTTTCCCTCTCTCTATTTGTTTTTTTTTTCTTTTCTTTTTCTTCATTTTTTCTCTTCATTTTCTCCCTTTCTTTTCCTTCATTTTTCCCTCTCTGTGTGCTTGTTTATTTTTCTCTTTCTTTTTTCTCATTTTTTCCCTCTCTCTATTTGTTTATTTTCCCTTTCTTTTTCTTCTTTTTTCTCTTCATTCTCTCTCTCCCCCTCTCTCTCTCACCCTCTCTCTCTCCCTCTCTCTCTCTCAAAGTCAACTACGATCGTTTTGAAAATTGTAAAACTTCACTTCCTAAGTATTCATCTCTATTGCTAAGCTTGTGTGTTGAAACGTTATGTTTTCTATCACAGATCAGATTACAGTACAACCAGACCATATTTATATGACCTGCGAACCGAGATCAACGTGAAGAATCTGTTCTCTTTTTTCCAGGGATTCCGTACATCACCTCCTTCTGTTGTGCCCCGTCGCCCAGGGTCATATATGTAGACCTTACATTCTCGTCTGAGATGTGTAAGAGACGGCCCAACACCTTCCCTTGGATGGTTGTTTATATATCTATCTGTCCAATATTTTTATTCCTGCACTTTTCTTGCAGTTGGGAGGTGTACATTCGATGTCCAGGAGTGGCCGCATGTCAACCTTCTGGTGCACCTTGAAAGTTTAGTGTGAAGTATGTGTGCAATGCCTATTCTGGTATAATACGGCACATATTACGAATTCAGTAAACTTCTATATTGAGTGGCTCTCTAGCCTTGTATTTAGTGAAATAAATAAAAGAAATAAAGAGCTAGGGTTGGTGGATAACAACTAAAGCATCACAGTGGTCATGGGACTGGTCAAGTAATATTTGTCACTGGCCCATATATACACATATGGGCTACCTCCACATTAAAAACGACATTCTGTCACATCTTACCTTCGTGAGAGGGTTGGTAAATACAAATCATACCATTTTTACTCGACCTTCGTCCTGGGATCAAAATGTAGTATCCGTTGGTCTCCTACGCCGTCTTTTTGCCGTCTATATAAACTGATCCCTCACTATTTGGCGACGGTTCTTTCTATACATTTCTATTCCAGACAGTGTAAATAAATCTAAAAGACATGCGTGTGTAGCTAATCAGTACTTCATTGATCGATTGATTCGATTTCTACGCCTTATCAGCTCTTTGAAGGTTATTTATTTTTTAGGGGTGAGGTGGAGATAATAATGGTTTAGTGATAAAAGTCTTGGGGTGGTATGTGAATTCATAACTTACCCAAGCGTTATGAGGGAAAACTGGTGTCACATCATGTCTCCGTGTGTGAGGAGAAAAAGAAAGAAATAGAGAGAGCTGGGGGTCGGGCTAAAGTGTAAATTAAGAGAGAAAAAGACATAGAGAGGGGGGAAATGAAGAGAAAAAGAAGGAAGAAAAATAAAGCTTATTGTTTAAATGCCAAGCAACGAATTGAAAGATCAGAAGAGTTCGTAAAGTTCTTCATAGGCAAAGATGTCCGAGAAAATGTTTGTGTTTTCTTTGTTGATTTCTCCGTTTTCGTAACTCTTTCATGCTTGTATAACATGTAGATGTAAACATCGACATAAACAAAGATTTGAAAAGATAAGGAAGAGAATGATAAGATATAGGCAAAGCATGAAAAAAGAAACTAAGATAAAAGTTAATATCCTTTTTCAACACTGGTAAAATTTCTGCAGGTCCAGATAGTGATAATTATTAGTAAGTACTTTATTTTAAACTAGTTGAGGCACCGGAATTGCTCAGGGAATCAGTCTAAATCAATATATATGACATACATTTTCTTTTTATATGGTAGCAGCGGCTCGGATTGAGGAATCGGAAAACCGAGTTCAAATTCCACTCGAATCGATTACATTCACTTACGTGCTAAAACCCTTGGGAAAGGTATGAATCCTTTTCTTCTATCGGTAAATATCAGGACAGACCGGGTTCTACCGCAACATACTTCGGGAAAAGAAATCTTCCTCGTCAGTCATGTATCTTTCGATACATGATCGCCTAAGTGTGTATCACGTATGGCACATAACTGACTGACATGGTATCAAGAATAACTAAGGGAAGTAACTACGCATTAATTTACTAACCGAAGCTGATTTACCTCGCTTGCTACAATATTTTTATATGGGAATATTTATCTTTAATGAGAAATAGCTCCTTTAATCTTTCATAACCTTCAGCCTCGACCCAGGTCAACTTTACATGGCCTATGACATCCTGTGGATCATAGCTTATCTGGGCACCAAGTTTGACTAAAATCCATCTAGTAGTCTTCAAGTTTATCATGGACAAACAGACAGACACTTCGTGTTTTTTTTTTATTTGTAGATATGAAATCCCGGAAACTGAAAACAAAATAAGACTTCTTTTAAAACCAGATAACTCGTGCAAATAATATGAGAGTTACTTCCCTTGAAGGTGATTGCCATTTGCATTCTGTTAAAAATATACTGAATAGAATACAAATTGATAACATAAAAAAACAGATGAACGAATTTGAGTTTTAATGGAAGCTGCTTATAATCAATAAAAATATACTCGGCTGTTGTCCTTAGTGGTCTAAAGCGTTGTTTCGGGAATTTGATCATAATAATTGTGAGTTCAATCCCTAGGCCGAGCATTGTGTACTGTGAGTCAGTGACATGTGCTGAGCAATAACTAAACAATCTACCCCATTTGATTAAATAATTCAACTCGAAATTTCTTGAGTCTTAGCCGGTTAGACAAACACCCGAAGGACGTTATGATAATAGAAAAAAAAACAGGAAGACAGCCTTTAAGACCAATGCCGGCGTCCCACAAAGTTATCTCCTCGGTATTACCGTATTTCTTATTGTACCGGGTTTTAACAGCAAAATTGTCCAAATTGTGTAACAGCAAAATTATTCAGTTGTTAGATTAAACTTTGAACCATTCTATCTTAGAAATGATTAAAGATATTTTTATTAGAATTCTCTGAGGTTATTATAAAACTATTAGACTCTACATTAAGCAATAAGAATGTATAATTACTCTATAGGCTTAACAGAATAATTGTGATGAAATCGATCATAAAACGAAAATGAGATGTTTTTCATTAATTAATCATAGCTAAGGATCGGAAGCTCATGAAGTATTGAAATTGTTCAATATATATATATATATATATATATATATATATATATATATATATATATTTGAAGATGGAAGCCATAGTATATGTTGTAGTATACCTACGGACGATAATGTGTATGTTCCCATTCACATAAACACAGTAGTAAATACTGTATGTTGATCTGCAGTTCATTGTGGAATCCACTTGACTCACTTCTAGCAGGTAACTACCTCTTCTACGCGCTGCTGGCGAATCTTATATATGTTGTTCTTGTCCTAAGTATTATCGTTCATTACTAACCTTCGTGTGATTATTCTATTCAGTAACCTTCCTAAGTTACAACAGTATGAATGTTCGTATCATTGCTGAAGGCCTGACTGATTTTTGCCCTCACTATTGCTCTGTTGCGAAGACAGTGGGGCTGAAACAAACGATTTTAACCTGTTCCCTTTCTAGCTGAATAACTCAAAGATTTTGTCATTGATTCTTACGATAAATGGTGTCAACATGGCTAAGCTTCTTATCTAAAAACCTGGGGGAAAAGAAACTTAATTAGTTTTGCGGTTTTATTTTGTTTTTTAGGTTTAGGTGGGGGGTTAGATATTAAACATGGAAAATTATGCTGCTACAAGATTTAGACAACTTTGCTGTTACGCCCACTATATTAATGATTTTACTAAGAGCATACTCCAACCCTTAGTGAGTATTTATGCGGATGATAAAACAGTTTACTGGTACATCTTCAAAAAATCTTGAAGACCAGTACCTAGTAGCTCATCTCTCTGGGGTTCAGTGGAGGAAGGATTGGCTTGCAAAATCCAATACGGACAAAACCAAACTAGTAACATTACACCACCACCGAGCAGACCCTGAACTTTTACCTATCAGGATGGACGGAAGAAAATGTGAGTGGCCGTAGTTTTTTAAGAATGGATTTTTCATTTATTATTTTTATTTTATTGCTTTAACACTACTTTTAGTGGATACCCATATTTGCGTAGATACTCTGTTTATTTGTTAAACACTATATTCATTTGTTCCCATTTACCGGACTGAATATTTTGAGAAATCTTATTAGAAAAATATGCGTTCTCCGGCAGGATTCGGACCAGGTTTGAACCCTAAGTGAAATGCCAACCTCTATGAGAGTGACTCGTCTCCCCTTACATTCTCGGCTCACATGAAGTGGTAAGATTCGATTTAATCCACTGCAAGTCTGCTACTAAGAAAGTTTATTCAACGTGTCGGCCCAGACAGTTTTTCTCTACCATTCATCTATGCCTCGAATATTACTTCCACATATGGTCCGGTGTTCCTGCTGCATAATTAGAGATTCTTGATAAAATCCAAAGAATCAGCAATATTATTGATCTTGACCTGGCGTCTCGGCTTCAGCCCCTTTCCCACCGCCCTAATGTAGCTTCCCTGTGCCTTTTCTAGAAATACTTATAGCATGGCAATTGTTCGGATGAACTCTTCGCTATGGCACCTAGACTTTATTAATTTAAGCGCAGTACTAGATTGGTAGCCAGGTCTCATCATTTCACAGCTAGATGTAACCATATGTTCTAAACTAAAAGTTTCTTTTCTCTTACTTTAATATGCTTTCAAATATTTTTTTTATTTATTATGGGCTTTGACAGTGTTATAAAGAAATGCTTATCATTATATAAAAGTTTTAAATATTAATATTGATAGTGTATTTTTGCTGTAATAATGTTATTTTTACATGGCATCCCCGCTTCTGTTGCTTTCCCACCAATATGACATAACTTCCCTGTAACTTTTCTTTAAATATTTTCAGGGTAATTCTTCTGATGAAGTTCTATCTATGATACCTAGACTCTATGAATTTAAGCGCAGTACTAGATTGGCCGCAAGGTCTCAGCATTTTACAGTTGAAATGGCTAGATTCAACCGTAAGTTCTAAGCTAACAGTTTCTTTTCTTGCACTTCTCACTTGTGAAACTTTTTTCTAGTTCCATGTTTTCCAGCCAAATTTGGTTTTCAAAAATTTAAATGCAATGTCAATTGTTATCTACTGTCTTCTTGATTCCTCTTCTATTACTTTTGTTCCTTAATACTGTTTCTCTTTTATCTTATTCTTTCACAGTCATTAACTACTTGTGTCTTAGTGACTCTACTGTCTTGCATGGGGTGAAATGATTTAAAAAGGGTATTATCGGCTAAAATCCTTTATATCAGCCTTAATAATGATAGTCTTTTTAGACGCATTTTTAGACAATTTGATTCCAATATGGACGCTTCAGATTATAACTGAGGATAACTTCTTTATTCTTTAGTGTTAATGGGTGCGCTGGAGAAGAAAGGTTTATTCTTGCATTCTCGTTTCCCCCATTAGTGGGATTATTGCATCCATGATACAATAACACCGTATTTCATGGACGGAACGGAATAGCTAAAAAGAAAAGGAAAGGACAAGCATTCTTTGTCCTCCGAGAGAGTTTTATGATGTTAAGTCGTACATATATACATATATATATATATATATATATATATATATATATATATATATATATATATATATATACATTTGTCCCACACAGAAAAATTATAACATTTATGCAACAAAAAGCAGTGTGTATAAAAATAGAAGCCTTGCTTGTAACATTTCCCGAAGAGAAAACTGAAACTACAGCGATTTCTCCATGAACCTGGTGAGACGATATGGTTTTTCCTGTACCGTTGTGATCCTAGGGACGTCGTTATTCTTCGGGCTTCGTCGCTCTCCCCTAACGTCACTCAGCGGTGACCTTCGTGAGTTTATCCCAACGAAAGGGAGATAAGTGATTTTTGTATCACGACAGTGTTTCTATTTATTACAAAGTTAACGAATTTATCAAGAGAGAAAAACGTTAATCTTTTTTTTTTTAAAATAACCAATATTAATATGAATCGAAATGAATATTTATTTATTAATGAAGTTCATCGGCACTCTATTTGATATGTAGGCTTTGTGTGCCAAAGAATCTTAGGATTTATATATTTAAGAAATCCTTAATATGCAAATAATTTTTTTAAGTTGTAAAGGGCTATGTGAATGAAAATAATATAGAAATAATTCTGTTTTTTAATCAGATATCTTTGGGACCTCATTATTCTTTTCCAGATAGAGAAAAATCTTGGATTTAATCTAGAGTCAACGAAATAAATAGATACGATTTTCTTTCAAAAGGTCCAGAAATTTCGGTGCAATGTTTTAAGGGAGTTAACTCTTGTATTATTACATAAAGTTATTGTTCATGAAAGGCTGTATGACGATTTTTTGTGTGTGTGTGTGTGTGTGTGTGTGTGTGTGTGTGTGTCTGTGTGTGCGTCTGTATGTCTGTGTGTGTATGTGTATGTGTGTGCGTGTGTGTGCGCGCGCACGTTGATTGATTCGTTTTCTACGGTTTATCAACTCTTTACAGGTTATTTAAAGCCAGAAAATATTTTTAGGTTTTAAGGATTGGTGGTGCGGGATATAATAATGATTTAGTGATACAAGTCTTACTAATTGGCACATAGCTGCGGGAAGAAGAGGGGATTTATGCCTTTCCCAAGGGTATTCGCACGTAAGGGAATATAGCGAACCCAACAAAAATTAGAACTCGTCACATCGATTTCCAGTTCTGAGCCATTTGCAATTACACCCCCACACATCCAAGCTTACATCACCTAGTAATCCAATATTTAAATTTTTAGTTTTATTTTGGTATCTCCAATTTATAGTGTGCATGTAGGGCTGTTCCTTCTGCTGACACCCATGCACTCTGTCATCGAGATACTGACCAGGCTCAATGTTGCTTAACTTCAATGATCGTATGGGAACTGATGTTTCATCATGATGTGGCCGTAAGCCTTGTGTGTGTGCTTGCAAGTGTGTCATGGTGATAACGGTTCTCTGAAAATTTATTTCGTTGTTCTGAATAATTCTTACTAATTTACGACCCAAGTTTGTATTTGAGGATATTCCAAAAGTTTTCAGCTCGACATTGATAATGACAAAACTGTAGAAAAAAAAGGGTGTTTATTTTTCTGCAAAAGTTGCTTTCCATTTAACAAGAAATAAATTTTTTCAATAATTGAGAAATTTCCAATGAGGAAACCGAACTAAAATTATTTGATTCATTGATCTGTTTTCTACGGCTTACCAACTTTTTGCAGGTTATTTAAAGTCAGGAACCATTTCTGGATTGTACGAATTTGGTGGGTGGATAATAATGATTTTAGTGATACATATCTTACTAATTAACCCTCCTCTGGGGGAAGAAGAGGTGGATTCATACATTTCACAACGGTATTTTCGTGCAAGTGAATATAACGAACCCGACTGGACTTAGAACTCGGCTCTCCCATTAACAATTCCGAGCCATTATCCATTATACCACCTGCACATAAAAGCTTATAGTACCTATTATTCCGAAGCGGTCACCCATCTAAGTACAGACCAGACTCGATGTTGCTTAACGTCAGTGATCGTACGGGAACCAGTGTTTCAAGGTTACATGGTTGTAATCCCCGACCTAAGATAGAGTCGAAATCCAATCCAAAATGTTAGAGACACAAAACTTTACTGTGACTTCAAGTTTCAAGTTCTGAGCCATTTGAGGATTATTTCATTTGAGGATTATTTCATTTGAGGATTATTTCATTTGAGGATTATTTCAAGCGTGGAAATTGAAATCACGGGGAAGTTGTCTAATGTTTTGAGGTTGGAAAAAATAAATCCATAGCAACTGTTCGGATAAGCTCTTCGCCCCAGTAACTAGACTTTATGATTTTAAACGCAGTACTAGCCTGACGAGGATATCTCACCAGATTACACATGAGTTGGTTCGATGTATGTTCTATGCTAACAGTTTCTTTATTCGCACTTCTCAATTATGAAACTCTCTTCCTGCTCCATGCTTTCCAACCAACTTTAATCTTTAAAAATCTAAATGCAATGTCAATCGCTATGATTGACATAGGATTTAAATTAATAATCCTCCTGATTACTTTTCTTTTCTTCTTTCTCCGTGGTAATGTTTCTATTTTCTAATTCTTTCACACCCAGTAATTCCTAGTGGCTTTACTGCCTCGCTTGGGTGAAATCGATTATATATATATATATATATATATATATATATATATATATGTGAAGAAATATAGTCTTAAGATGTGGTATATTTATGGGATAAAGTGCTCAATATCAGAGATATAGTGTGTGTAAATATAAAAGTGAACACAGAAGTTAACACTTAGAGGCGACAGTCTGTTTCATGCTATATGCAATCGTCAGGCTGATATTGAGCACTTTATCCCATAAATATAACATCTTAAGACTATATTATATTTATATATATATATATATATATATATATATATATATATATATATATATATATATATATATATATGAATGGGGATCAAATATGGATTAGAATCTGACTGAATGATAGGATAAGGCACAAATTCAAAACGTTTATGAATTTAACTTTCATTTAAGCTTCATCAGAAATTAAACATGGAACAGAAAATAATATTCTGGTATATTTTTATTTTTGTGTTATTTGTTTTTCATTGGTTTAGTTTTCATGTATATAATTTTTGTGTGTTTTTTTATCAATTCTTGTTGGTCTATGCGGTATTTAGTTGGTAATTTGCATGCGTGTGTGTGCGTGTCTGCGTATTCAAACTTTCAGTTTTTCTGTTACTCAGTCTCTCAGTTGAATAGTGGATTTCTCTATTCGTTTCCCTAATAATTCTGATCAACAAACTTCTTTACTTGATTTGTTCCTTGCCTCCTCTACTAGCTCTTATCGAAAATCACACCTCTGTCCTCTTGGCAATACAGTCACGCTGTAGTTTCTGTTGATACTTCTTCTGAGTCGTCTATTAAACAGGAACTTCCTATTCAGAAGACTCCTTTCTGTTAGCAGCGTAATGATTGGGATTCATTTCATAATTTTCTTCTGGACACCCCTAAGATTGATATTCTTAACCTTCATATTGATAATTGTACCACTGATCTTTCTTCTTGGGCTAAAGACGACATCGGTGCTTTTCTACCTTCTTTGCGAAACTACAATCTTCTCATTGATTCAACACGGCCTCTTCAGCCGCTATAGCCCACTGAAATTACTTTTTCCGGGTGTACCAGTCTGATAGTTCCGAACATAACAGATGTCTCTTTGTATCTGCTTGTAATAATAAACGGGTCCTCAAAGAGGCTTAGTTTTTTGTTTGCTGATAGAATGAGACACCGTATTGCATCTAACAAGTTTGATTCTCTGGCGGTTCTGTAATCGTATGTTAAATAAGAATAAGTTTTCTATCCCTCCTCTGTTCATTCAATTTGAAGTGTTGGCACCTTCTACTAATAAAGCAGAATGTTTTTCTCGTAAATTCTCTTCAAATTCTACTCTTGACATATTTTGGGTATCTTTGACTGACTTTCCACTTAGAACTGAGACTTAGAACTGAGACATACATATAACTCCGGCCATGGTTTCTGCTATCATCTCTAAACTGCATCCCGATAAAACATGTGAACTTGATGATATCTCTGCAATAGTCCTTATGTCCTGTCTCCTGTTCACTTTACACTAAATGCCTTGCTGCTTCTTGCTTTTCTGCTTGTAGCAATTCCTCTTCTGTCGTTGCAGTCTTTAAGAACTCAGATAAAGCGTCTAATCCTTTTATCAACCTTCTACCTGTTTTGGCAAAGTACTAGATGCTCTAATCAACTCTGAATTGGTTAAGCATCTCTCCTCGCAGGGTCTCCTTTCAGATAAGCAATATGACTTTCGCTTCTCTATATCAACTGCTGATGTATTAACGATTATTGTTGAAAGAGTCTGTTAATTGGTAGATGAAAATAGCGTAGCCTGGATTATTGCTTTGGATATCTCGAAGACATTTGACATGTTGGCTTTATTCACAACTTCAAAGTTTATGATCTTTCTCGACCAGTTTTGAATTGATTCAATTTTTCTTATCAAAATGCGAAAAGGAAATTTGTCTTGAACGGTCTTCTAGATATTTTTGCATCAATGCAGGTGTCCCCTAGGGCTCTAGCCTTGGACATATGTTGTTCCTTATTTTCATCAACGATCATCATGTCATCAGTTCTCAACTCGGTATCTTTGGTGATGACACAGGTATTATAAGTCTGATCAGTTCGATAAATTGGCAACTGATCTTAAAAATGACTTACAATCTGTTGTTAACTAGAGCAAGTAGTGACTTGTTAATTTTAACGCCTCCAAAATGAAACTACTCTCTAATGATCTTAGAGCTTTAACTGCCACTTATCAACATGGCTGATGCTAACCTCCATTGTGCCTTCTCGGGCTAACGTTTTCCGCTGAAAGATTGTATTGGATCAGTTACTAGGTTTGCTGCTAGTAAGGTTGGTTCATTGTATCATGCTAAACAATTTTTTCTCCTCGCAATTTATCTTACATATTTATAAGTCTACCATTTGTCCATGCTTTAAATATCTCTTCTCTCGCACTTGTCATGTTCTACTGTGTACAGTACGAAATAGGCGGCTTCGAGTTCCAAAGACTAAACAACATCGATACATAAGATAGTTACTGGCTCAATGGTTGCCCCACACCCCTGAACGTTCGTAAATTCCGCACTGACCCTTAAATCATATACTTAGAAGCCAAGTCACATCTTAATGGTTTCCACGCTGGAAAGTTTCTAAAATGTGATTAATTACTTCAAGAGGCATGGAGTTAAAATATCCTCTGACGGGACAGGATTGGCGTCAAGATCTCCTCATTTTCCAGTCGAAATGGCTAGATGCAACTGTAAATTCTATGCTAATAGTTTCTTCTTGCTTGTGGAACACTTCTTCAGGCTTCTTGCTTCCCAGTCAACTTTTATCTTCAAAAATCTAAATGCAATGTCAGTCGTTATCTTCTGTCTTTTTAATTCTTGTTCTTTTGTTGTTCTCTCTCTTTAATAGTTTTTTTTTCATATTCTTTCACTTTCAATGACCTTTGCGTCTTAGGGGCTTTATTGCCTTGCTTAGGCTGAAATGATTAAAAAAGAAAAAAGTGCGCCTGCTGAAGGCCCAAATTCTAAATAAGCGGCCCTAGAAAATACGGAATTGGGAATATATTTTACTGGATGACCTGTTACACGATAAAGTAGGAGTTTTTTGTTTTTGTTTTTAGTAGTGAGATTTCCTAAATTCACTCTAATCATAGTAACACCTTGAAAACCAGCTTCTATAAAATCCCAACTTCCAAACTTCCTTACCCTCGGAAGGGATACTTCATTCATCGAGTAGAATGACCTGTTGATCCATGGATGGGAACAAATAACCTGTACTTCTAACTCCTTCAGCGAATGCCTATTCATGATAACACACATTCCTGATGTACCTATATTAATCTCCACATCTTCTCTGCCCCTCTGGGTTGGTTTGCCCAAATAAATAGCATTCTCCTTTCTTTCAACGACAGTCTTTGATCAGAGGCCACGACAAGATGACAGTCTCCAGCATTATCATTTCCTTCGAAGATTTGTGTTTTGATACAATCATCCGAGAAATACAAAAGCTTCTTAACTGATGTCCTCGACTTTGTTCCTGTTCTTGTAAGCAACCTTCACGATTCTCTAAAGAACGTTTATATTGACTTTAGGAAAGAAAAATGCTTGCTGTTAATTCCATCTAATCCCAAGAAAATTTGCCAGAGATTAGCGATAAAACTGCTAAATCTAGAATATCAAATCTTCTTATCTCAGTAAAGCGATTAATTTCCATGGGTTTAAAAGCCGCCTCGCTGTTTTTAGACACGTGTGGATAAAGAAATCATTGAAGGAAAAATAATCTTTTTTTTTATTTTCATTTCGTGATTCTCTGACAAAATACTTGAATTCCTGGGTATGACGATAAACTACACCCAGCAGCAAGGCCTCTGATCGGAAGATTGGCGGGTTTAAGCAGTTTGGAACCACCTCTTAATTGCTGTTGAACCCAGGTCACCCTTGAACCGTAGTGGTAGCACCTGTTAATGAATCCCCAAACTAAAATAAACGGCTATGAAAGTATAAAAATACATTTTTATATAAGAAAAATATTACCAACAATACCTATTTATAGTAACGTTACCAACAATACCTATTTATAGTAACGTTACCAACAATACCTATGTGTAGTAACATTATCAGCAATACCTATTTATAGTTTATATATTTAGCTGAAACAATAAAATTGTGTTCAAAATATTTATATTCCGTCATTAAATAACCCATAGAGATGTTGATATGCCATTAAACAAAATCAAACAACCAACTTGATAGAACATTTTATAATATTAATCCATATAATATCCTACAATTTCGTAGGGAAATTAAACTGTATTCTAAAATCTAACTTCAATAAAACTGCAACATAAAACATAAATATCACCGATTCGACACAAACATGTATCATCTACGATGTATTCAACTATGAAAGCAGAATAACATATAGCATATGTTTATTATTTCAAAGCCAAGAG